GCATTTCCCTTAAAATATCAATTAATTGGGAAAGACGAATTCATTAATAAATTGCCGAATTAGCATATCGCTTTTATCTGACAGTTGGATCAGAAGTTTGAACCAGCAAAACTTCTATGAATTCGATTGTCACCGGTGCAGCTATTCAATAAGACGCATTTAATTGGGTTGTGATCTATTAAATAAGGTTGAGAAATTTTTGACTAAAATTAGTATCTTATTTTAGTCTAAATGTAAACCTTAATTTTGAAAAAAAATTCTCAGAACTTGATTTTCTTAGATCACAACCCAATTTTCAAGAGTGACGTTTATGTTAATTTCTACTAATACTTAGATGAATGATGTTGCGCATAAAAAAATTCTGATCGCGCTTAAATTTTTTAAATAGGTGTTATGGGTACCATTTTTGCATTGATCTGTCTCGCACATTTGGAATATGGAATTTAATCAAAAAAAAAAGTTTGAATATTGCTTGTAAATATCGTTAATGATTGATTATCTTCGCTTCCTCCTTTTATAATTTTGCATGTGTCACCTCCTAAATTCGTAAAGAGGCGATTTATATTTAATATGTTGATTCGGTTTGTTATGTTTATTATGTGGACAACAATGGACTTAGCGAATTATGTATGTAAATCAATTTGTAACGAGAAATAAATAAAGTTTTTATTGAAATAAATAAAGAGAAATAAATTATATAGAAAAATGTAAAAATAAGACAATAAATGCAACTATTACAGCCTCTGCCGGCGCTCTGTAATAGGCCTAAAGAGAAAAGAAAATTATCTAATTCTATCTAAAATCAAAGACGAAAAACCCTACTTTTATAATAAATTTCCTTCCCATGGCTTAGTTGTAGAATTCTTGGCAGGATTACTAATTCTTGCGATAATGCTAATTAATTATGTCAAAAACGGCCATTTTGACATATACATTCCATCATTTCGAGGAGTTCTAACTTATTGAAAAGTCCGAAAAGTCAATTTCAAGACTGTGGCGATCCACTTTAGGCGCAGTAACCGGGATTGGTCCAAATTTGTATGCTATGATGACGTAGATTTCAATCATAATTTCTTTGTTCTAGAATTTTTAATATGTCTGAAAAAAGAACATATACGTTCAAGTACTTATCCTTATTTCATTCACAACATACCTTCGAATTTGCCATAAATTATAAAAGTATCTTAGATATTATATTATATATAGGCTATTATTTCATGTGCTCTTTCATCAGGAAATTAATTTAATAAGTTTATTGCGAATATCTACGCCCCGTAATATTTCGAAGGCCTACGACCCCGTCGAAGATCTATGTTTTTTTTACGACGTAGTATTTCGAAGATTATTTTGGGGTTTTTTATTATGGGGTATAGTATTGCGAAGATTATTGAGGCATGATAGTTCAGAATTTTATAACCATTTGAAAGGAATTAATTTGAAATTTTGTCAGCATAAACAAATATTAAAGGCTTTTTAAACTTCAAATTCACATTATTGCTAGTAACTTTACATGCTCTCCAAGATTACTTTGAACGCCATGAAAGGGTTTGAATATCAATTTTATTATTTACATCCAAATTTAGAAAAATTAATCCGTAAGTATACGAAGTACTTCGAGCTGTAATATCTACGAAGAATTTCAACCGTAATACTTCGTAATTACAACGGTGCTATAACCTTCGAAGTACTTCAATGGAGATATAAATAATACGAAGTATTACGGCGTAATACTTCGTAAATATACGGAAGAGTATTATTTGCGGAGTATTTCCCCTCAAATATTTCCTGATGTTAATGCGACATTTCATTTGAAACGATGGCGTAAAATGTTGGTAAGTTAATTTCATATAACAAAGGTTAAATTTCTTGAAGATGTGCTAGAATAATCAATACGTCTATAATCTAAATATTCTATCGCGTGAAGATACTAAGGAAATCAATTACAATTAAATTTAAAAAAATGAAATTAAAGAATCGCGGTGAGGTTTACAAGATTACTAAAAATTTATCAGTTACATGGTCATATTTGGTCTACGGCTCAGGATTTGAGAAGTTATTTCGGTGTAAGGTTCTGGCAGGTAATATCGTCACATCTTTCATTTATTTAACAAAATTACTTCTATCACATGATACACTTAGAAGAAATTGAAGCAGAAAAAATGAGAATTCCCAAACCCTGTTCGTTCTAAGATTAAAATAAATTTTGAAATTAATTTAAATATATCCCATAGACTTACTCGTGTGGCATTGGTAGAACTCTTGTCCACTTGTTAATTAAATTTAGGACTTCCTTCCCGTGTTAAGTTCCTACGCATTTATTGAATTATATCATCGTTTGTTTTACAAAGTCCTTACAATTGGCATAAGCTGATATTGGATGAGTACGTGTTCACTATAAGAAGAAATATTAGTGAAGAGAACGAAAATATAAATAAAGTATGTTTAAATAATATAAGTTATAAATTATAAATTGAAGATGTTTTGGGGTGTATACAATGCTTCTAAGAATGTAATTAGGTCAAATGTTAGTTATCTTTATGTACAAGTTTTTTATGAAGCGAGATAAACTAACAAATAATTATGATTAATTATGATTAAATCTTTGATTCTTATTCAGGATCTATAATTCAAGACATGAAAAAGTTGTAAGTATGGAACAAGAATTTTATTAGCTATATTATTATTCCTAAGTATTATCCAAGAAAAATCTTTACGTTAAAAATTCTGTCGTTTAATATTGATAAGATAATCAAACTATCAATTAAGAATAAATTACATAATTGTTATAATTATTGTTGTTATAGCTGTTAGAGCCGATGGCGAACCTGATATCGTTTTTTTTTTGTTTCCAAACCAAGTAGTTTGTCTAATTTTTTTTTTTAAAAAAAAATCCAATACGTATGTATATATTTCAGAGTCAACATGACTAATTATAAGACGCAGGCGGTCGCTTTCATCATATGTCAACAGCATTTATTGCTTCAATTGTTGCTGTTGAGCTGGCAGCTTGTCTTCTCTTTGTTAATAGTGTTTTGATTACCATGTATCTCGACATTATAAAAAAAAAATAGTTTGAAAAAATTTATTTTGCGTGAAGTGCGATTTTTGTATTTGTAAGTGTAATTAAATCATTTTAAAAGAATGACATAAATCATTTATTTGTAAGAAAAAAAAATTTTTTTGATTTTTTTTTCTGCGTAAATTGCCGTATATTTAAAGTTGGGATTCGTAAATAAGTTAAAGTTCGTGTCGTGTTTGCATTATAAAGTTTTTTTTTAAAAAAATTTTTTTCCATTCCAGATTAAAAATTCTATTTTTTCTTCGCCAAATTTGTCATACGCAAATTTTATTAGCTAAATATAGATAGGTCGACAATTTTTTTCGTAATTGACCTGTTTTACAGTAGATTTAAAATTACATGAAATGTATGCATTTGTGTGACCGAGTCTTTTCAATTTTGTTACATTTAAGGTTAAACTTACTGCATGTCGGACCTTTGTTTCCGGAAGAAAACAAATAAATGTAGGAAATATTTATCAATAAGAATCTTTTAAATTAAAATGAAACTTAAGAAAATTGAGATGTTATGTTTGACCCAACTCCAAAATTAAAATCCAGCCCTGTGCCAATTTTATTTATTTCATTTAATAGAAATGACGACATTTGCAATTATTGTGGACATGAATTTTCTAGTACTAAAGATTATGTTAAATATTGTAAAAGTTGCTTAACTTGGTATATTAGGTATTTAACCGATAATAATATATACTTAGATGTTCGTATAGGTACATATAACACCCAGTGTATAGAGCATGAACCAAGAACGTTAGGTTTTACAACACATAATATTCAAGAGTGGTGTCTAAATTGCTCGGAAATTTTATACTTTAGACAAATAACTGATAGAAATCAAATTAAAAATTATACAACCGTATGTCATTTATGTGGAAAACATTTATCACCATATTGTCGTTTATGTCCTGATTGTAACTTAAATTCTTTAATTTCTAATGGATGGACAGAATCAACAGTTATTAAAAAATCAATTCAGATATTTTATATGCCATGGTGGGATGCCAGTGTTACTTGTATAATTTGTTATAGGGACCTTAATTTTGTAACGGATTGTCAAAAGTGGTGTTCAAATTGTTTTGTAATATATACAGGATGTAGATATTGCTTAACGACAAATGTTATTTTGGGAATTACCAATCAATCTCAGTGTAGGAAATGCAAGAGAGTTGTATTAATTACTATTGATGTCACAAATTTTGTCAGTGGAAATAATTTAATAGATGAATTCCTCTATGATACAAACTCTTACATCAGTCACAAAATGGCTAATAATCTTATAACTATGTATATATTTACAAATGTTCTAAATATTTGTAAACGAATCAAATGGTTTCCTTATTCAACAATTACAAGTTTAAAAAAAATAGCGGAAGGAGGATTTGGCATTGTTTATCGAGCGACTTTATGTTTTGATAATTATCAAAATGAAGTTGCGATAAAAAAATTCTATTCTAAAAATATCAGCAAATGTTTTTTAAATGAGGTATTTATTTAAAATTACTCTTATAAAGTACATTTCTCTTCACTTTTTTTTTACTATTTCATAATTTTAGTTAAAATTGTTATATCATTGTAATGATACCGAAGAAATTAGCAAGGTTATTCAATGCTATGGAATTACACAAGATCCCAAGACAAAGGAGTTTATGTTAATTATGATGTATGCAAAAGGAGGTGATTTGCATAAATATTTGCAAAAATATTTTAGATCTATTACATGGTTTGATAAATTAAGTATTGTAAGCGATATTTCATCAGGGTATTTATACTTTTAATACATTATTAATGTTTATTAAATTCAATTAATATATTGTAATATACTCTTATATTTTAGACTGTGTAACATTCATAAAAAAAATATTATACATCGAGATATTCATAGCGGAAACTTATTATTATTAAGACGAACCCCTTTTTTAGACGATATGTATCTAAATTGTTATATTGGAGATCTAGGATTATCACAACCTGCAGATGTTAGCTCGCAAAATAATGAAATATATGGTGTTATTCCTTATATTGCACCTGAAGTATTAAATGGCGCCAAGTTTTCAAAAGAATCTGATATTTATAGTTTGGGTATGGTTATGTGGGAATTAACGTCAGGTCGTAAACCTTTTGATTATGTTGAACATGATCACAACCTAATTTATCAAATTATTGACGGAAAGCGGCCTGATATTACTCAGGATACTCCTGATTTCTATTCTAATCTAATGAAAAGATGTTGGCATCCTGATCCTTCAAAAAGACCTTTAATTGCAGAAATTAAGGACAAATTCGATAAATTCGACTATTACTATAAATTTCATACTATTCTACCTAAAATTGTACGATGTGAAGAGAAAAGATTGGAATTGGTACATTCTATGAAGCTTGGTCCCGAATTTAGTGAAAAACCTCATCCAAAAGCAATTTATACGAGTAGAGCATTAAGTTCTATGACTTTTAAAACTTCTTCTACTAGTACATTGTCGTTAACAATTTCATCTATTACAAATCAAGGTATGCTTTATTTTACTTTTTAATCAACCGATTTAAAATTAAATTTGAAAGTAACTTAAATAACAGAAATTCTAATTAAAAACAATTTAACATAAACATATTTTTAGAATATTTTTCAAGAGAGATTGATTTTGATATAAATAATATTCAAAGGTATTGATAATATGCAGAATATTAAAAATTTTCGATAATGTTTAAATACAACATATTTTCTTAATATTTCAGGTTAAATATTCAACAATAATATATCTAGCTATATATATACATGTATAATTTTAAATATAAATTGATTCAAGCGAAATTAACTATGCCATGACTCTATAATGATATTTTGAGATCTGTTTTCACTTATATATCCAACGGCTTTATTTGCTTTCGACACTCCTTTAATTGATCTATCATTTTTACTTATATCCATGGCATGGAACTTTATGTTTCATGATTTTGTTGCAATACAGGCATTCACATTAAATTACAGTATATTCATATATTCCGTTAGAGAAAATCACATCACGATAATTACATTTTCATATTCTAGTTCTGGATTTCTACATTATTTCACATCCTCATCCTTATACTGCAGAAAGTCATCACATACTGGGCATTTTATATACTATGAAATGGTTAACCCATGGTGAATTATCAATCACATTAACATAACGAAACCTAAGAAATCAAAAAAAAAGCCAATTTCGCCAAGCTCATGACCAAGAATTAGCTGAACTCTTTCGATGTGTGTGTCGCCGATTATTTCAAATCCATGTACTTTGCTAACCAATTATGCAGGATTCTGTACATCTCTACATCGTAGACACAACACATTACCTAGGAACTTTCGTATTTTGTTTGAAATTGATCCAAAGTTTTTGAGTTTTGTAAGAGCGGAAAGAACCTATTTCAATAGTATCCTTGTCAAAAGTTTGCACAGCAGTTTTTATGACCTCAGGATATCTATTGAACCATTGGCTTTCAAAGATACTTCTTCGTCAGAGATAAAACACGTCATTTGGGAACGGTGCTTAATGAATCGGTTGCATTCTCCTTTTTCCTTTTAAGGATGATGTCGATGTCGATAATACAGTATAGCACAATGCAAAATTTTAAAAAAAGGCAAATGTCATCCATTTTAGTAGCGATGTCATTATTAAAGTGATAAGCGACCACATTTCATGAACAAAGTTGAATTATATTTCATAGGGAATCCTCCTGGCAATATTTGAGTTTGCTCAAACGTTGCAGATAGAAGCAAAAGGTTATGAAATGGTTAACGAAAAATTTTTGTAGGATCAAATCATCAATTATTAAGTGAAATTATTATGAAATGACCACATTTAATAAGGTTAAAAGTCAAAGTATGTTTGTTGTTGAGTTGCTCGAACTTTGCAGGTAGAAGCAAAGATATTATGAAAAAAATTTTTGGATGTTAAAAGTGGTAAAAATGTTAAGTGGTTAAAAATATCTTTTGTAGGAAAATTTCTGTTAGTAGTCGAGTTTGCTCAAACATTGCAAGTAGAAGCAAAAGATATGATTATATAATTTTTAGTGTTAAAAGGTAGTGTACGCGATTAACATGAAAAATCTTCGACATTTTTATAGAAATCAGAGATGCGTTGTTTTGCAGCATCACGTTATAGACGCACTTCATATCTGTAAAAAAAGCTCTGATCATGTAATTATATATGTATAATGTGACTAATAGTTTAACCTTAACTTACATTAATCCTAATTCCACATCACAATAAACCAACACAAATAAAAAGGGTGATTTGACAGATTTTTATATGTCACATGACGCGAGCTTTTTTTGATGTTCTTTTCAATAATTTGATGTATTTATAAAATACTGTACATTACAACAAATGTATTTTATTGTTATATTAATATAATCGCCACCAAAATAGTAGCTGGTGTTAACTTCAAAATATCTGATGATCAACACTGCAGCTAAAATCAATGTAGTGAATAACATACATAGTATACATAGCATATATTTTAATTATGGCAATCATGTCAAATATGTAACATTTCAGATTTTTAGTTAATTTCTTATATTTCCTTATTTTATTTAGTTTATTTTATTTTTAGCATTTATATTGTATATGATTTATCATTGCGAAAATGCGTAGTTTATTAGTATATATACATTGAAAAATTATTTACAAAAAGAATATAGTCCGATCGTTGCAAGTCTTGGTGATGATAGACTTACGGACTTCCAAATAATAAAAATATCTTTGCACTTTCAAACCTTCCTCTTGTCTCCAAATAGGCTCCACTTGTGATAACCAACCTACACAAATTGAATCGTAAAATAAAGTTATTAGCGATATATTCCCAGGATAAAGGATTCTGAAATATTGTATTAATTATTTGTGAAAACATTCCTTATATAAACCTTTTATTTATAAAATGAAAAGAACAAATAATATATATAAATTGTTTATCTTTATATAAAAAGAATGGTTTAATTAGCTAGATTATAATCTGTATAAATAAGCATTAATATTTTAAATTATAATTACTAGAAAGAATAATAAACAATTAAAATTATTTGAATATTCTTAAAAAACATTGCATATATCAAAAAAATTTTATTTTTTATTTGTAATTGACAAAAAAAATTTTAGTTTATAATAATTTAGCCTAAGATTTTAATTAGTCAATTATTTATTTTAGTTATAAACAATTTAAAAAAAGCTAAAATATTTTATTTAATGGTAAAAAATTTGGATTTTATTATGATTTATGTAAATAATATACTATAGAAAATCTATTTTTTAAAACCTTTAAATTAAAATGCTTTAAAAGTGCAGATTATATTAAATTATAAATACATATTTTAACGATGCCAATTTCACTCAAAACAAAATCTTTACCTTCAAATTTTCCAAAAATCACAATTACATAAAATTTATATTTGCAATCATACTTATCTTTATAAGTATCAGTAGCATCTTACTTTAATTTATAATTTTTATCTATTATACTTAAATTTATAGCAAACTTTTAAAAAATAGTAAATTAGTTTTAATACCTGACAATTTAATATTGAATCATTATAAAGTTTTAAAAAATTAATTTAAATCAAATTTTTAATTAAAAATTCTAAATTTACAATTAATGAAAATAATATTTCTTTAAAAAAAATAATATTTAAAAGTATTTTTTGATTTTACTTCTTGAAAATATTTGAGTTTAATATCAGACATGATATTAAATTTCTTATTATTTTTAAAATTATTAAATAAAATATTACTTTTTCTCTTTGATATTTACAAAATTTATTAAATAATTTTGCATATATAATAACATTTTCATCTTTAATCAGTAACATATATTTATTATGGGACCCGATCAATTAACTGACAATTATTTGGCTGACAATCATTTGATCGACAATCATTTAGCCAAAAGTTCTATATTACTGACAATCATTTTGCCAATGATCATTTAACTAACAAGTACATTTCGCCGATAATCATTTTATTGACAAATATTATTATTATTAAAAAAAGAAAACTAAATACAAATAAAATTTTCAATAGAAAAGTTGTTTAAAATCTTTTATTATAAGTAATTACATATATAAACCCAAATACTATTTAATATATTGATTAAATTATAAATTATTAAAATGCAATATTATGTGTAATACCATAAAGGAAATCTATAACTTGTCTATTATTCTGATCATTATATATTATTTGAATTTGTAATACACATGCACAATCTTTTTTCTTTGGCAAATTACATAGTAAGCCTTTTAAAATTGATTCTATTTCAAATTGAACCTGATTTTGTTCTTTTTGAATCTCTTTTATAATTTTAAATACACCAACATGTGTATTACATATCAAAGTCTCCTATCTTTGATATCAGGCTTCTACAGTATTTTGAGTTTGAGGAAAAGCATATTCAATATTATCAGTAACTGACTAAAGTGAAGGTAAAAATAATGATGCAGAGCAGACTACATTTCCACTTCTTGATGTACGTCTTACTTTGCCATGAATATAATAACTTTCAAACTATTTCATGATTTCATTAGCTTTTGCTAGCATATTGGTTTTTAATTTATCAAATGCTGCAGGAATATCATCAGGAGGTAAAAAAGCAACAAACTAAAATTTTCATTTATCACATATTAAGTAGTGAGTCTAGAAGTTTATACTTTATGATAACCATTTTGAGCTAAATAAAAATGACATCCTTTATTTTGAATATCTTGAAATTCTGCTTAAAGAGTATTAATAGCAGCTTGTTCAAAATTTGTTAAAATAAATTGTGTTTGTAAATCAATATTTTATTCTTCAATAATTTCTTATAACATTCTTCAGATTTGCTAGATATTAATGCATAAATAAAAGGTAAAATTCTTGAATTATCATTTTTTCAACATATTATAAATAGTATATAATTGTTTGAATATAGATGAAACAGTTTTAAAAGTCCCATTTATAATCCAAAAAGAAGATTATTCTAAATGTTTAATATTATCCAAAGTAGTAAAAAAGTAATATTCTATTATGGCCTATAGTTAAATCTTTAATTAAAAAGTCAGATTCATTTAAAGAATTTTTAGTATTTTTAAGAATAATAAGATCTTCTAAAGACTGATTCTGGAGAAAAATCAATGCGTTGAATCTGTTTAATCGTTTAGCAGAATGCATTATGAGATGAAAGGTATGAAAATATTTCTTGTGAACTATTAGTAGCTATAGATTGAATAATTTATATAGGCTGATTATTGGTTTATTGAACACGTTTCTTTAAAATATTGATAGTTTTTATTATATTTATACAGCTGGCTTTTGCAGCATAATTGTGTTTTGAAGTTTTTTGAAGATAATATTGGTCTTCAATCAATTTAGTAGTTGTTCTTCTATGATATTTTAATGTAATTCATTTTTCACAAGACCAATAATATAAATTGTTTTTATTTTTATTCTTAATCATAAGATAACCATAAACATTAAGTTTAACTTTATTATGAGTAAAAAAAATAACATCACAAATAATATTATTCATTTTGAAAGGAAACTAAATAAAGGATCACGTCTTAGAAAAAAAAACTTTATTAAATCATTCATTGATCATTATGATATCATAATTAAATCATTATGATGTATAAATGATATCATTTAATAATAATGATGAATTTTGCTAAATATTTGTCGGTAAAATAATCATTAGTAAATTGTATCTATTAATAATATAATCATTGATTAAATGATTGTTAGCGATATGTATCTGTCATCCAAATGATTGTTGACTAGTGATACCTGACGAAATTACCTTTTTTAATATGACGAAATTGACGAAACTGAAATGACGAAACTAGTTTTTTAT